CTCTCTCTCTCTCTCTCTCTCTCTCTCTCTCTCTCTCTCTCTTTCTCTCTCTCTCTCTCTCTCTCTCTCTCTCTCTCTCACTCTCACACACACACACAATAATCCCCTTATTATAGTTATGGGCATGCTGTGAATAGCCTATGAAGCTAGCAGTTTGTGTGTTCCTTACATTGGCTGATATAGAAAACCTGTCAGATAAGATAGTCGAGGGATGGGATTAGGGACAAAGGAAGGATGTACTGTATCTCAGTGGAAGACTGCTGCTGTATCAGACTGTTGTTCTGCCTCTGCCCGCCTCTGCTATCCTGGATTTCCACTGGTTCTGTCATAGTGGAATGGATCATTTTATCTTTGATACGAAACAGGAGAACCAAACAATCCTGCAAGTCTTTTTTTTAATCTTTTTTTTTCTTCTGGGGGATGGATCAGCTTAATATTGCAGATAGATTGTATCTTCTATCAATGTAATTGTCTGCATCACTTCCAATCCCCCATGTTTTTTATATATATACTCCCCTTTATTACTTTTCAACCCCGCCATCCTTTCCCTACTTGGAGTAAATTAGTGAACAACAATGCCCAGGCCTCTACTTCCGGCCTATACTTACTATCTACACATTATGGACACAATTTTACAATAATTCTATTATATATATATATTATTGATCGATTGACTATGACTTTTCAGATCACCCAGTAATGATCTGCTATCTGCAAGGTTAGCTCCAGGTAAATATTGCAATCCTTTAGCCATTCCTGGACCTGTGTCCAAAAACAAGCTACAAATGGACAGAACCAAAACAAATGATCTAATGATTCTGTCTCTTCACAGCAAGTATTGGATAACTTTAGTATTTTCTAATGCTTTGGACAAACATGTTACTACCATGTGTCAGGGCAGTCAATACTGCCTAAGGTCAGCTCTGGCTCTAAGGCTGCATTTACACAGGCGTTCCATTTCTGTCACACCCTGATCTGTTTCACCTGTCTTGTGCTTGTCTCCACCCCCCTCCAGGTGTCGCCCATTTTCCCCATTATCCCCTGTGCATATATACCTGTGTTTTCTGTTGGTCTGTTGCCAGTTCGTCTGGTCAAGCCTACCAGCGGTTTTCCCGTACTCCTGTTTTCTCTCTAGTCCCTGTTTTCCCGGTTTTGACCATTCTGCCTGCCCTGACCCTAAGCCTGCCTGCCGTTCTGTACCTTGTACACTGCCCTGGATTACTGACCTCTGCCTGATCCTTACACCAAATTACTTGACGTTACCTTAGATTGTGAACTATCATGGCCAAAACATATAGATTCAATGGTTGTAAAGATGGGGAGAGGTCTGTCCGTAATAAAGAGATGTTCTGCTGTTTTGACACCACACTCCAAAAAGCAAGTTCAGCAGGCTCTAGTTTTGTCTAATCTTGATTATTGTCCAGTCGTGTGGTCCAGTGCTGCAAGGAAAGACCTAGTTCAGCTGCAGCTGGCCCAAAACAGAGTGGCATGTCTTGCTCTTCATTGTAATCAGAGGGCTGATATAAATACTATGCATGCCAGTCTCTCTCGGCTAAGAGTTGAGGAGAGACTGACTGCATCAATTCTTATTTTTATAAGAAACATTAATGTGTTGAAAATCCCAAATTGTTTGCATAGTCAACTTACACACAGCTCTGACACACACACTTACCCCACCATACATGCCACCAGGGGTCTTTTCACAGTCCTCAAATCCAGAACAAATTCAAGAAAGTGTACAGTATTACATAGAGCCATTATCGCATGGAACTCTGTTCCATCTCATATTGCTCAAATAAACAGCAAACCTGGTTTAAAAAAACAGATAAAGCAACACCTCACGGCACAACGCCTCTCCCCTATTTGACCTAGATAGTTTGTGTGTATGTATTGATATGTAGGCTACGTGTGCCTTTAAAACATTTTTATGTAGTTCTGTCCTTGAGCTGTTCTTGTCTATTAATGTTCTGTATTATGTCATGTTTCATGTTTTGTGTGGACCCCAGGAAGAGTAGCTGCTGCTTTTGCAACAGCTAATAGGGATCCTAATAAAATCCCAAATACCAATACCCTGACCCTGCCTGCCATTCTGTACCTTTCGGACTCTGCTCTGGATTACTGACCTCTGCCTGCCCTTGACCTGTTGCTTGCCTGCTGCTCTTGTTGTTGTAATAAACTTTTGTTACTTCGAACTGTCTATATCTGGGTCTTATCCTGAGGACTGATAAATTCCAATATTTTGCCACTAATTGGTCTTTTGACCAATTAGATCTGATCTTTTGCCAACAATTGGTCAAATGATCAGAATTGGGCTCCCTAACAGGCTAAAACATCAGTAGAAATCCAGAAGCATGGAACCAAGTCCACTAATTGCTCCATATTCACCTCAGAGCTCTTGAAATCACATTGCTGTTTTTCTTTTACAGTCTTTTCAAAGTCTGCAGCTGCTTATACTATAAACCTATTATTAATATATATTGCGGCACATTTCAAAGGCCCAACCAATTTAACTGGCGAGAAAGTCATATTTCACAGGTCCCTTTCAATGTTTTCTTTTTCTTTTCAAAAAGCTATTATGAATAGGATTCCGAGACAGCTGGAGGTAAAGCACCATTTTTTTAAACGTCTTGGATTAGTTACTGAGGAATTGATCTGTTGTTGTGGAATAATGGTATGATTAAGGTGTAATGCATCTCTTGTTGACATACTCCAGTCCTCCAGACAGGGATATGGGGCTCAATTCAATCCGTATTGCGGAAGTTCAGTGTTACAGCACAATTTAAATGTAAAGATAATTTCGTAATGAGCCGACATATGCAGCGTTTACTGCATATGAATGCAGTCTCCGCGAACACGGGAACATTACCTTTAAATTTCAATCGCACTATAGCGCTGACCATCCACAATATGGATTGAATCGAGCCCATAATGTAAACCATCACTGTATGCTAAACAACTCAATGAGGTCAAATACTGTTTTTCACCTCATATGACATATTTGATATTATGTCATATAATAAGACACATTATTATAAATTATAGTTACAGTTGTCTGTGAATTGCACCATATACCTATAGCCTACATTACTGTACATACACTTTGCTGTATTAGTGTGAATCAATAATGATGTGAAATTGTCAAGTCATTAGCTTTATTTCATGCCAAAAATAAACATAGCATCCACATAATTATTGTAACATTGATTTCAAATGTTGGATGACTGATGAACAACTACAGTACAGAAGAGATAGGATATATTCATTCATCCCCAATTGGACATTACTAATTCATCCCCATTTGACATGATCAACACTCTGCTATCATATCACAACATATCTACTAATAATCATTAACAATATGTGAATTACCTTCAGTTTCATTAAGATTCTCAGACTTGTATTCTATCCATAAGAGATAACTCTTATACTAACAGGGATAAACTATTCAAAAATGCAAAGCGGGTTTTGTTTTGTTCTGCATACATAGTGTTGGTTGCATATTTTTTTCACCACAGAAAGAATACTCCCATAAACAAACACTGACTGTAAATGCTGGATAATAATGTTGATGGCATTAGATTAGTTTGTTTAAGCTGAGGGATAGCAGTGCAGGTTCAACCCTTCATTGGAATTGATATTTCAATAATATTACAGATTTAATATAGCATATTAAAGACGCACTCCAGCTATTTTTTTTTTACCTTTCCTGTTGAAAAACAATATCCCACCTATAAACACAGTAATGTACACACACGTAAGGGTAAAAAAAATATGTTTTGAGCAAAATAGTATTTTTTAGATACATGTGCAAACTTCATGAAGTAGGCCATTCAAGGAGTTGGTCTTATGGAGCCCTTTGATGTCATAGGCCTCCCCCCTGCTTGTGGGAATAATAGAGGAAGCAATAGAGAACAAAAGAGGAAAGGCCCATTCCCTCACTTGTACCATGTCATGAGGACACCTGGACCACCTATTGAGATGTGCCTTTTGTAAAGTAAATCAGGTGATAAATGAGGTGAAAAGGAGACTGGAGTGCGACATTAAATATTATTACATTCTAATATTACAGATTTGGTGAAGTGACTGAAAACTTACCATGTTATCCCTCCACATACTTATCCATCCACATCCATAGCATTGGAAAAATATAGATCCATTCTTTCATTTAAACTAAAGTGCACTGTTCACAACTAAAGTGCATGAGTGACATACAGTAAGTATAAATACGATTTGGTTTATCCAATTCAGGGTTGGGTGTAAACCAACCGATCTGTGACAACATTATATCTAAGAACCACATTGGAAATCACTTCAGTGGTAATTTGTTATTTTACCTTTTCTATGAGCTAGGGTTCAACATTGCACAATACAACAGGTAGAACAATTGGACACTGGTAAACTCTACCTCTGTTAGTTATCTGCTGTTATTTTAGTTGGAGTACTGAATGACCATAGACCTCGATCAATATGTATACCCATTAGAGGTAACTAACATAGTACATCATGGAATGTTAAAGCAATGTGGTATCTATTAGCTTACTAGTAAACAAGGTTTATTTCGAAGGTAGTAACAAAGTAGCATTGGGAAATCATTCATATTCATGCAAATATTTTTGTTCTTGTACATCTATTTCTACATCTAAACTCATACAAGACATGTCAATGTATTCAAAGATGCACAGCAAAAAATACTTATTATAATGATATGGATTTCAATAACACTATAGTTATTGCAATATTTCAAAACGCTTTCTCACTCTAACGCATTATGTTTTTGGACTGATTTAACTAAACAGGCATAGTTAAGTCGTGCATAAATTCATCTCAAATTATGACAATACAGTAAACACAGGATATTGTCTAGGAAATAGTCATAAGTATGCTGGGGTAAACAAAGGAAGCAAAGCATACCAGTAGAAACAGTCAAATGTAAGAATAAAACACTTTCTCCTCTTCTTATTGTTTTGAATATCATTGTTTCAATGGGAACTTTACTTCTGTCAGTTGTTATTCATAATCCACCAAGATGCTGAAAAAACAAATTAACAAATTAAATAGACTGATCATTTACGTAAGAGCATCACATTGATCATCTATTGACAACAATATACTGCATGAACATCAAAAACGGCATGCATTACCACATCCTCTCCAGTGGGTTTGAGGCTCTGTCCCTCTGAGGTCCCAGAGCCATTCCTTATAGCTTCTCTCGCCCATCCCTCATCCACTCCACAAAATCCATCCCCTGTATGACACTAACCTGGGAGGAGCATGGTGGAAACCATTTCAGGGTCCTCCAGTACGTCAATGATGCAGCGCTGGAATGTCTTGCTGATGGGGGACTGCAGGTAACTGTAGGAGGAAGGGATGGAGAGAGGGGACAGAGGAGTCAATGGGTGGCCCTGGACTGTCAGTGCTTTGTCATACCGTCAATAAAGCTTTGTAGAAGGTCTTTAAATCTTGGCCAAGTCCAACAGCATTGCAACATCCCATCTTAATGAAGGCTTTTTGTAGAAGAACTGTATTTGGAAGAATTCTGAATGGCTATACTAAATCATAATCTCTTACAAGGTTTGGGTGCAATTCCATTTTCATTCAGTCAATTAATTTGAAACTCTGTTGGGACTACACTCTTAGAAAAAAGGGTTTCTTCGGCTGTCCCCATAGGAGACCCTTTTTGGTTCGAGGTAGAACCCTTTTTGGTTCCAGGTAGAACCCATTTGGGTTCCATGTAAAACCCTCTGTGGAAAGGATTCTACATTGAACCCAAAGGGTTTCTACCTGGAATCAAAAAGGGTTCTTCGAAGGGTTCTTCTATGGGGACATCCGAAGAACCCTTTTAGGTTCTAGATAGCACCTTTTTTTCTAAGAGTGTGCAGAATACTTGATGTACCTCATCCAGGAGAGACGGTCTTGCCAGAACTCGTACATGATGAAGCAGGATCTCTCTGGAAGAGTCTGGACGGACACACTGTGGGATAAGGAAGTCACAAGTATATTGCTCATGAAATTGGCATTTTGATGACAAACATTTGTAGTACCCTGTAGTAGTGTCTGTAGTACCCTGTAGTAGTGTCTGTAGTACCCTGTAGTAGTGTCTGTAGATCCTTGTAGTAGGGTCTGTACTCTTTATCATAAAAGTCTGAACTATTGTCACCTATTTGACAGTATTCCAAAACAATTGTTATGAAGGAAAGAAAGCCCCATTCTAGTTTTGAAATACAGCCAAAGTGTGTCGACAAAACAGAGTAGCTACTGTATATGCAGGATTAGGGTGATTAGCCAGGAAAAGCGGCTACATTCACAATAGGTAAAATCTTCAATGAAAACAATGGCCAATGTTTTGAATGTAGAAGAGAGACCCACTGCAGATTGTTGGTCTGGCAGGCTGTGGCGTCTGTGTAGATCTTCAGAGCCTGCTGGAACTCCTCTGCGTCTTTGTCCTTTACAGACATCTGTCTCTGCACCAGCAGGATGTTCTGTTGAGAAGGAAAGAGAGGAAAATGGTTCAGGCCAGTGGCATCTGGGTCATGTTCATTGGGCACCAGACAGAAGAAAACCTAGTCTGGTCCAATAAGACACAATCATTTTAGTTTTCCGTTGCCAAATGTTTTAAAACGTTTTCTGTTGCATGCTCTAATAAACACGACCCTCTACTACTGTAAGCATTAGAGGGACAAGGAAAAGGGAAAAGCAGCCGACACTGGGGCTCTGGAGGACCACAGTAGTGCATTGGTTTTGTCATTTTAGTATTTTTTAAGACAAATTAACAATGCTGTAGCAGAGAAATATTGAGTTTGAGAGATACATGTATCACACTATGTTAAGTCATTGAAGTCTAGGATACACCTTTTGATAGACATTGAAACCTTACTTTTCCAAATCTAAAAGGAAGTGGCCATAGTGGCCATCCGAGTTGGACTCACCGAGTTATATGTTCCGGCTAACGTGTCCTCTTTGAGTGGTTCCAGATGTGGACTCTGCAAATGGAGGCATAAATATTTCAGTCAGTCATGAAAAGAAAAAGCTGCAACAACAGAACGAGCCTGACCAAATCTACCTTTGATATGAAATGGATTGATATATGTATATTATATTTCCCTAAAGCGATAAACAGATCCTATGCAAACGGACAATTTGGAGCGTAGCACAGTGTTGCAATGTCGTTTTTCGTCACAAAATGGGTGGCTAATTGTAGTACATAGGGCCTGCATACGGAGCTTGCAGATTTCCTCCGCTCAAATTATTTAAACGTAACGTATCATTCCTTACGCTACCGTGGGTGCAGTGTTGTGTCGGCAATGAAGCTGAGCCAAACTTTCTTGGTTCCTTGATCTGATCTATAGGCTATGCATCAAATAAGCAGTCTATTTTGCATTGATAACCAAATATAATCTTAGACTGTTCAAACAATAAACCAAACAACATTGTAGCCTTATTAGAATCATCCCAAAATGTATTTTGTTTCAAAGTAATAACTATGTGATTCTAGGCTATTTTGAAACTGTAAAAACAGCTGCTAGCCATGTGCTTTTTTGTCTGTGAGCAAAAATTAAGACATTCTATTTTTAGCTGATATGGGAGCGAATACATTGAAGCAGCATGTCAAACTGGGATAATATTGTAGGTTACACCGGCAAGTATAAGAATATTTGCCAGGGTATATTATTTAATTATGAATCTGATTATTTCACATGGGGAAGATGTGGGAAGCTAAAAGGCTAGCTTGCTTGATGATTTTAGCCAGCTAGCTAGCAAGCTGCTAGTCGAGTAGCCTACAGCCAACTGGCAGGCATGAAACAAGGTAATGTCAAACAAACCTAAAATGTCATTACATGTAGCTATTACTAAAATATGCAATTGGTTATTTGAAATTAGCTAACAGTGGTGATGATGTTTTCAACATGATTCTTCTTTGCTTTTACCACAAATGAGAAGACAACAAGAAAACGCTGCTATATCGCCCCCTTGTGATTGTTGCTATTCAGGGGTCTAGAAATGCATGGACCGGCGAGGGTATCATGTTACCAAAAAGGCATGTTGCTCAAGAAAATCGTACTCCACCCAAGCACACACGCACGTACATGTACGGAGTGAAGCTTGTATCGGCCTTAAGCAGGTTGAATTGAGCCTTGAGAGCTTGGGTAACATAAGACGAGAATTTGGCAGTTAGCACTTTAGCTGGTTGTCATTGTCTAACAAATATTAGTACTTCCCAGCAGGAGGGGCAATGTTGTGACAAGCTAATTGTCGATTAAGCATAAATGAGTCAGTGGGCACTGATCAGAGACAGTAGTGTTTGAATAGAGACTCACAACACATCAGTAAGACCAAATGGAATGATCTATGTATAACAACTTAACCTCATACTCATACTCCAGCTAACAATCACTGAACCTTGCTAAAAATGTTTTCAGAATACTCTAAAGTCTCAGGATATAAAATTAACATGTAATAATGGCAAGAGGAAAAATAAAAATAATAACTCATGATCTTCAGCAATCCTTTAAGTGGACCACAAAAAGATCAAGTACCAAAGATGCTTAATAAGTTACAACAAACATCAAATATATAAAGATAACTTTATCCCATTACTGAACAATATGAAGATCTAATTAAATGGAACAATCTTCCCATAAATCTTACAGGTAGAATAAACCTCTTCAGAATGGCATGGCTTTCAAAGTTTTTATAGTTATTCTCGGTAAAACCAATTACCTCACCAAAGACATTCTTTAAAAAAGTATACTCGGTCATAACAGACTTTATATGGGCAAATAAAACTCATAGAATAAAAAGGTTTTACATCTTCCTAAATCTGAGGGTGGTTTTAACCTTCCAGACTTGGAATTGTATCAACTCGCCACCCAGGGCTTTTACATGCATCAAATAGTTAAAAACTCCTTAAGAGTCTATTGACGCATCCGTGTGTCAATCTAAGTAACATAATAAAAAAATCCCCCATCAAAATCCAGCAGTTTAAGCTAGAGATATATTTTTTCAATCCACCTCAGCCGCTTGTCGGCCTTTCGCATCTGTGGTGGAAGGTGGCCGAGCTACAGTGGTGTTTGTCAGGCCATGAGACTAATATGACCACTCTATGGAAATATAAGACTCTCACAAACATGAAGGTGTTCTCCTTTTTTCTCTACGTCCCCCACAAGTGTCAAGGGACTCGTCTGAAAGTAACCCATACAAATGAATGGAAGTATGGAGGTAGTTTTGTGCCAACTAAAATAAGGGGTTAAAAAACAAAAATATTTCATGAGTTTTCTTATATGTCCTAGACATAGGACAGACACTTCAAAAACGTATTCCTTGTAATTAATTTTTTTATTGTAGTTTTTGCCATTTATGAATGAATGTGTTATTCAGTGTGTTAATATGGGCTATAGTAGTAAAGGCCAAGTTCAATATTTTAACAAATAATAGTCATATATATATATATATATATATATATATATATATATATATATATATACAGTGGGGAGAACAAGTATTTGATACACTGCCGATTTTGCAGGTTTTCCTACTTACAAAAATCCAGAAAATCACCTTGTATGATTTTTAAGTAATTAATTTGCATTTTATTGTGTTTGCACACACTGCAGCAGGGATTTTGGCCCACTCCTCCATACAGACCTTCTCCAGATCCTTCAGGTTTCGGGGCTGTCGCTGGGCAATATGGACTTTCAGCTCCCTCCAAAGATTTTCTATTGGGTTCAGGTCTGGAGACTGGCTAGGCCACTCCAGGACCTTCAGATGCTTCTTACGGAGCCACTCCTTAGTTGCCCTGGCTGTATGTTTCGGGTCGTTGTCATGCTGGAAGACCCAGCCACGACCCATCTTCAATGCTCTTACTGAGGGAAGGAGGTTGTTGGCCAAGATCTCGCGATACATGGCCCCATCCATCCTCCCCTCAATACGGTGCAGTCGTCCTGTCCCCTTTGCAGAAAAGCATCCCCAAAGAATGATGTTTCCACCTCCATGCTTCACGGTTGGGATGGTGTTCTTGGGGTTGTACTCATCCTTCTTCTTCCTCCAAACACGGCGAGTGTAGTTTAGACCAAAAAGCTCTATTTTTGTCTCATCAGACCACATGACCTTCTCCCATTCCTCCTCTGGATCATCCAGATGGTCATTGGCAAACTTCAGACGGGCATGGACATGCGCTGGCTTGAGCAGGGGGACCTTGCGTGCGCTGCAGGATTTTAATCCATGACGGCGTAGTGAGTTACTAATGGTTTTCTTTGAGACTGTGGTCCCAGCTCTCTTCAGGTCATTGACCAGGTCCTGCCGTCTAGTTCTGGGCTGATCCCTCACCTTCCTCATGATCATTGATGCCCCACGAGGTGAGATCTTGCATGGAGCCCCAGACCGAGGGTGATTGACCGTCATCTTGAACTTCTTCCATTTTCTAATAATTGCGCCAACAGTTGTTGCCTTCTCACCAAGCTGCTTGCCTATTGTCCTGTAGCCCATCCCAGCCTTGTGCAGGTCTACAATGTTATCCCTGATGTCCTTACTCAGCTCTCTGGTCTTGGCCATTGTGGAGAGGTTGGAGTCTGTTTGATTGAGTGTGTGGACAGGTGTCTTTTATACAGGTAACGAGTTCAAACAGGTACAGTTACTTAAAAATCATACAATGTGATTTTCTGGATTTTTGTTTAAGATTCCGTCTCTCACAGTTGAAGTGTACCTATGATAAAAATTACAGACCTCTACATGCTTTGTAAGTAGGAAAACCTGCAAAATCGGCAGTGTATCAAATACAGCCGTCCTAAAATGCTAAATTAAATACCTAAATAATGAATGGTATGACCTTCTTAAAACAATTCCATATGTTAGCTTAGTAGCTTGATTTCAAATCTTTTGGACATCAGAGCAATCTTGAGGGAATCCTATTTGAGTCCGAAAAGGATATTCATATGATAGATAATATATACAAAACCTTATAGAGAGCCTATCCAACTGACAATCTCATAGAAAAAAATATAAACTTAAAAATAACTGATTTTGGCACAAGATGGAGGGAATGTTGGAACATAACTAACAAAGTTACATTTAATGAAAATGTACAGTTAATCCTGTATAAACTAATGTATAGAATTTATTACACAAGAGACAAAATTCAGAGATTCTACAGCACAATGGCAGAGTCAAGTCTTAAGTGTAAAACTAACAATAACTCAATAATCCATGCCTTCTGGGAATGCTATAAAGTCCAAACCATATGTGTGGAGTTAGAAAGTTGGATGTCAGAAGTATTACAATGTAAATGTACTTTTAATCCGTCTGTCTGCATATTTCAAGTCATGCCATATGAGGGTGCAGTGAGATACCCGATGTGTTGTACGATACTTTTCTCGTCAATCATCTTGAAAAAATGTATACTTAAAACTGGAAAATCAACCAATCCTCCATCGGTCAAATGCTTTATTATCTAAATGTTGAA